TTCGTTCATTGAAGGATTGGCAGAGCATAGCGGAGTCTCCGATGTGTGTTTCCCTGACTCAGGAGAGGGTACCCCCCCGCCCCTCCCCAGGTCTGTTTCTGTGTCCTTCAAGCCCAGCCTACAGCCTGGACACTCGGCTCTAGTCGCAGAACTGACATCACCACTAGGTGGCACCGCAAGCAATGGAGTTTGTGCTCCATTCACAAAATCCAGCTCTTTTATGAATGACTGCTGAAACCGAAATGGGGCAGAAGGTTCCCAGCTGGAGCTCATTATGACTCCTGCTGCCCACAGGGCTGTCATACTTGCTGGCATACAGTGATCTTAACAACTCTATTTTGCAATGAAAAAAAAAAGAAAGAGTGATTATACTAATGATACCTTCACATTCTCTATCATTTCCCTGTTTTAAATGCATTTTGACATGCAATATTGCCATCCCGTCTACCCTGTGGGGTAGATACATTAATTGAACATGGTGTCACTCGAGGACCCTGCTGGGCGCCAAGAGGGAGAGAGCAGCTGAGCTCATTATGTGCCCCTGGTTGTGACTGACAGGTGTGGGAGGCGGGAGACTAGACAAGCACATGGCAGAACTCAAGGCTTTCTCCATGCTCAGAGGCGGGGAGGCTGCCTGGAGAAAATGGCATGTGAAGCAAATGTGGGTAGAATTTACTTCAGCACTAAGAATGGTGTGGACAGCACTAAGAATGCTAGGAAGGCATTCCAGGCCCCGAGGAGTGCAAGAACAAAGGTAGCCTAGGTCCGTGGTCGGCAAACTGCGGCCCCTTGAGTGTGGCTCTTCCACAAAATACCACGTACAGTGAGATTGAAACTTCGTGGCCACACTCAAGGGGCCAAAGAGCGGCATGTGGCTCGAGAGCCGCAGTTTGCCAACCACTGGCCTAGGTGAAAGGGGAGAGTGTGTTCAGGAAAGAGGTGGTCACAGCCCACCCCTGCTGGAGACCAAAGTGTGTGATGGAAGATCACTTTTTCCCGCTCTCTCCTGCAGTGACCTCACCAGCTCCAAGGACAGAGGCCCCTCCAGCACACCCCTCCTCCCCCACCACCCCAGTCACCCACCGCCCTCGAGTTTCCAGGTCATCGGCAGTGGTGGCGGCCAAGCCCACGACCCGCCTGCCATCCACCACAAGCTCAAAGACCTCAGCCCCGGAGAGGCTGCTCAGGCCCCAGACAGACAGCTACAACCAGCACACCAGGCTTCACAGGCAGAGGTGAGAGGCCTCCACCACCCGGGATGGGCTGCAACCCAGGCAAAATAGTCTAGGATTCGGAGACCCAGTGAAATGTCTCCCAACCAAGGCCCTTCTTGGCTTTGTCTCTAGAAGGCCACTGTGACACAGACGACCTGTGAGTATAGCACATTAACCCTTTAGTGCCCTTAACATGAATATACTTGCCAACGCCCCAGCAGGCGATCCCGTAGAAGCCAGACCCCAAATTTTCAGTCCCTCCGCATTCATTCACATCTGTTTTGATGGGGAGAAACTAAACGAGAATAAAATTAACGACTAAACTACTAAGGATTATAACTACTTTCACGTGTTTCCTTTTGCTTTTTCAACCTAGCTATTAGGAAATTTTTAATTACATGTATGACTCCCTCTTTGTTTCTAATGGACAGCACTGCTCCAAAGGCTAGAATAGATGCTAGGAAAGTGCTGCGATAGACCACTAGGGGGCAGTATTACAGCAGCCGCCAAAGAAAAAGCTACAATAATTGGAATTAGTTTTACCTAAGCAAAGATCAACATGTGAGTGAGAAAGGGGACCTTCATTTAGGTCGTATAGATGAGGAAACTGAAACCATGAGAGGGAAGTAGTTTCAAACGGAACCAGGATTCCTGATTATTAGTTCAGGAAATGACAAGAGCCTCCTTAGGGAAGAATTCAAGGCAAGTCCATCAACATTTTCGTCCTATGTGTCAAGCATGGCGCTATGTCCTGAAGATGTAGAAAAAACGAAGCCGTGCGGTATATTAGCCGTCCTATCTCGCTAAGGCAAGTCTGACCGTGACAAAGGTTGTAAAGGCTATGATCGCCAGAATTAGGAAAAGGGAGGAAAGAATCGGTTCTGGTTTGCCATGTCCAGGGAAGAGGAATTACCCATTGGCTCGTTGTGGAAAGTAAAATTTCCACATGCAGAGGAAAGAGAGGGGAGGCCTCCTAGGCAGAGGGAGCACCATAAAAACAACATCCTCTTTCCCACAATGAGAAGAAACTAACTCATTGAACATTTGCAATAAGTTTGAGGAAACTGAGGTCCAGAAAGGGAATCTGACATTTGCTGATGGCCGCGTGGACCCTGTGTGTGAAGTTCTTTTCATCCACTCTGTGGCTCGCCCTTAAACGGTTCTGTGAACTCGGTTTTACTAGACCCATGGACAGGGAAATGAGGCTCAGAGAAGTTAGGAGACTGGTTCCAGATCACAGCCAGTGAAAATCTGAATCTAAATTTGAACTCAGATTTCCTGGCTCCAGAAACAAGGCTCTTTGTTGGGGGTGGGTGGGATTTAGTCTTTGTCATGGTTTCTGTTAGCATATCCTTGATGCTAGTAATGCTGAGCAAGTTTTCAAATG